GAGAGGCAAGACTAGAAATCAGGTTTCCTGACTCAAAATTCAGTATTTTAAAAACAGCGTAATGCACTTTTACTAATCATTAAAAAAATACCCTGCCAATTTAGAAAATAAAAGTTACTAAACTCTAAGATTTAAAAAAGCCATTAAGTACAAAGAAATATTTGTAAGTTAGCATATACAAACAAGCTGACTCACATAAGAAAAACCTTAAGGCTACAATAATAATAATAAAGTAATTAACCCTACTTAAGGAAATATGATAAAATAACAAGCTTAAAAAAAAACCTTCTGCCATCTAAGGACTTTCATAGCTAGAAAAAAAAAAAAGAAAAATAATTTAAAAAAAAAGAAAAGAAAAATCTTAAAAATACTAAGTTTACTAGTTAATGGTATTAGCAAAAATAATGAAACACTGAATCTTCAAAATTTGAATATAAGGTAAAAATCAGGGTAAACTGGTGACAGTGGCCATTAAAATGAGAGCAAATTATATGCAATGCTATCATACCAATGAAAATGTCCAAGAAAGAACACAACAGATTTCCTGAGACACGTGATTATTAAAAAACACATAATGTGAAGGAAATTATCCTTCAAAGCATCTAAATAGATTGAATTACTCTGTCTTATAGGAATTAATATACTGGCTTGGGGTTTGAATAACATATAAGTAAAAACTTCACTTTTTAAATCTTCACAGCAATAAAACTTTGCTTTCTAATTAAAGATGACAGAATAAGAAATATGTTTATTAACTTATATTAAACCTTTATCAATCAACCAAACAGGAATGTCTACCAATATGGCTGGTTCTGGATGGTCCTTAACATTTTCTTTCCTAGGCCGGGCATGGTGGCTCACGCCCTGTAATCCTAGCACTCTGGGAGGCCAAGACGGGCAGATTGCTCAAGGTCAGGAGTTCGAAACCAGCCTGAGCAAGAGCAAGACCCCGTCTCTACTATAAATAGAAAGAAATTAATTGGCCAACTAATATATATAGAAAAAATTAGCCGGGCATGGTGGCGCATGCCTGTAGTCCCAGCTACTCGGGAGGCTGAGGCAGCAGGATAGCTTGAGCCCAGGAGTTTGAGGTTGCTGTGAGCTAGGCTGATGCCATGGCACTCACTCTAGCCTGGGTAACAAAGTGAGACTCTGTCTCAAAAAAAAACCAAAAAAAAAACCACCTGTGCTTCTTTAGTAATCAAATTGAGACTGGATTACGGTTTTCTCTCAGGAGATTTGGATCCTGAGAGAAAACCGTAATCCAGTCTCAATTTGATTATTAAAGAAGCACAGGATTAAAAATTATATTAGAAGGAAAAAAAACTCCCAAAACCCAGGAGACTGGTTACAGTCAGGTGGAAGATAACAGATACTTAGTCGTCCTATTCCTTTCCCAAAATTCATATAACTGGAACAAAAAAAGAAGGGAAGAGAATTAAACTATGAAGAGATGCCAATTTTTCATATAAAATAGGTCAAAATTACATAAAAATAATATATAAAATTATATAGCTACTAGGAAATTAAATGTAAACACTTTTTAATAATCAGTTGTAAAAAGGCATGAAATAAGTTTAAAATAATCATGAGTTTTTTTGTAAATCTATGTTTGTAAATCTATAAAAATGTTATCCTTTGTGTGTGAAGAATGGAGAAAAATTCTTACTTTATACAGGTTAAAAAAACTATAGGCCGGCCAGGCGCGGTGGCTCACGCCTGTAATCTAGCCTCTGGGAGGCGAGGCGGGTGATTGCTCAAGTCAGGAGTTCAAAACAGCCTGAGCAAGAGCAGACCCCGTCTCTACTAAATAGAAAGAAATTATGGCCAACTAATAATATAGAAAAAAATTAGCCGGGCATGGTGCGCATGCCTGTAGTCCCAGCCACTGGGAGGCTGAGCAGAGGATTGCTTGAGCCCAGGAGTTTGAGGTTGCTGTGAGCTAGGCTGATGCCACGGCACTACTCTAGCCTGGCAACAAAGGAGACTCTGTCTCAAAAAAAAAAAAAAAAAAAAAAACTAGGTAGGCCGGCACGGGTGGCTACACCTGTAATCTAGCACTCTGGAGCTGAGGCGGGTGAATCGCTCAAAGTCAGGAGTTCAAGAGCAGCCTCCATAAGAGCAAGACCGTCTCTACTAAAAACAGAAAGAAATTATCTGGACAACTAAAAATATATATATAAAAAATTAGCTGGGCATGGTGGCACATGCCTGTAGTCTCAGTTACTCGGGAGGCTGAGCCAGAAGGATTGCTTGAGTCCAGGAGTTTGAGGTTGCTGTGAGCTAGGCTAACGCCACGGCACTCTAGCCCAGGCAACCGAGCAAGACTGTCTCAAAAAAAACCCAAAAATATAAACACATGTATATGAACAATTCCCACAGTACTATGTCTTACGTTCTGCCATGATGAAAACCAATGAGTTACAGTAAGCACCTTTTCAAAACTTATTCTCAATCAGAAACAATTAGGTACATAAAAGTCCTCAAAGAAAAAAAAGTTATAGGGCCTGCATTCCTCTTTGTATTTTTCTTTACAGAGGAGTTTTCATTACACTAGACTGTTAAGTCATCCAAATATGATAATATATAAATGTACCTTTGACATGTCAAAGAATAATATAAACATCATAATGAAATTTTGGTATATTAATGTTTCTAAGTCACAGCAAATGATCCACTGTTTTATTAAAAAAAAAATTTAAGTAGTTCCTTTTATTTTACAAGGATATGGCCCCAACTAAGAATCTCTGTTATTTCTAGCTATTATCTCAAAAAAAAATGATGAGGTAGTTTAAAATCAAAGAAAATTTTCTGATTTGAAGAGATTCTTAGAATTCTTATAAATCTACTCCAAGAAGAAGCTGAAAAAAGAAAGGCTTTTTTGAATATTCATTCACCCAGCTGGTACACAAAGATCTAAGTTAGCATGGGACTCAAAGGAGCCTAATTACTTACTTCTAAGAATCACTCTTCATCTTTTAAAATTAATTAAAAGGATTGGTACATGTTTGTATATATATCATTTAATTTAAAAAATAGTGATACGGACTGTTACTACAGAAGAAATAAGCTTCATTCGGTGTAATTTACATATTCTTCTTACTTGCCACGTGTTATTCAGGTAAAGCAGAGCCTTCATTTCACATAGTTTAAATTTAGATCTTTCAAATTTCTTTGAAGTGAGACTCATTACACTAGGGTAAAAACAAGTTGTGTGACATGAGTTGTTCATTAAATATTTATTGAAAAACTTACTATGTACTAAACCCTGTGCCAGCTGAGTGATTAACCAATTGTTCTTTGAAACAAATTATCATTGTAAGCTTAAATATTTTGTCTTGGATCTTTTGCCTAATTACTGAGTAAAACAATATTGCTGAAATCGAAGTACTTTTCAAAAATCTTTTGCTAATATATTAACATTTTAGGAGATTATTTTCTCAGTTGTCAACTGAATGAATAAAACATTAAACATTATCATATGCCAATCAAAACACAAATGAAAGTTAAACATATGGTAGGAAAACTGTCCAGACTTGTTCGAATTGGTTTAAGCTAGTTGAGACTTGAAATTGTTTTGCTATAGTTCTTCAACTGTCTCTTCAAAATAAAAAATTCTTAATTTGGAACACTAGTTTGATAAGTAACACAGCCTCAACTAAATACTGCTATTTAAAGCAATGGATTAACAATCTTACATAAATTTTGTGGAGCAAAATTAAGATACTTGCTGAGAGTAACTGAAAAGTCAACATAGCATTCACATTTATACCAACATTTAATTTAACAGAGATACAAATGAATATATAAAAATCTGAAAGCATAAAGTTAAGATTTTCATAACTGTCTATACTTGGCCCACTTGTACAAGAAAACCAATTAACATTTTGGCAATTGATAATATAATGCAGATGGCGATGGATGACAACATCTTTGAGCTCAAACTGGTATCTTCTATTTTAACTTCTTATTTTTGTTTGTGAATGTTTGTTTTGGTTTTCTCATGCTGTTCTCAGGAGAGATTCTCAGACAAAAGCTTCATGAATTATTGATTTATTTATAAATGAGTTGTTGTAAGTTTGGCTTTCAGAGAAAAGGTTTACTAATTATCAGTTATGAGGGAATTCAGACCCTGCCTGCCTTGAGAGCTAACTCCAGTTCCAAGGAGAAAGGTAATGAAGATAGAGAAAAAGAAAAATGTTTTGGGCCAAATGTTCAAATATATCTTGTGAAGAAGAATTAATAATAATTCACATTAAGATATGTGTACTTTGAAAGACACAACATGACAAACATTATTAATATTACTATCAGAAAACTGACTTTTCAGCCTGATGATTCTTTTTCAACACCTAATTTCTTGGTAGTTTTTGTTGTAAATCATGAGAGAAAAGTAGACATGAATTAAACAAATGTTGAGGAATGTACTATAGTAGTCCTCAAATGAATCTCTTAAACCCACAAAACCTAATCCCTTATATTTCACATAATGCTTTACAGTTTTCAAAGAGCTTTCATTTTTTTTTATTTGATCTTAATGTGACAGCTTTATGAGGTAGGTAGAGTCGGTATTTATCTTCTATCTTCATTTACAAACAAGGTAACCGAGGCTCAGAGTTGACTTGTTCAAGGTCAGAAACTAGCATATGGCAGAACTAGGCTTCCCTAGAGTCTAGAAAAATTTTTCAAAGTGTGATTCTTCAATTACCTGCATAAGAATCATCTGTGGTATTTTTCTAAATATAGATTTTTTAAAGTCCTACCACCTATGACTTATTGAATAAGACTCTCTAGGAGTGGAGCCCATAATTCTACATTTTATAATGAACAATAAAGTGGAGAACAATTGAATGTTAAGTAATGATACAAAAACAACATTGAATCCAGCTAGATGTTCAGTTGATACAACATGATGCCTTCAGATCATCACCAGGGCGAGTTAGTAAAAGCAGTGGATTTCAAGCCAGGATGCAGATCCATATCACCTGGAAAGCTTTAAAAAGAAACTCTACCGATTCTCCTCTGAAAGAGAGGAAGGTGTTGGGCATCAGAAGTTTCCCAAGTGATTCTTATCTGCAGTCAAGGCTGAGGACCACTTGTTTAAATATGCTTTTCTACATAACACATCCAGCATTTACTAGAATTTTCTTTCCCTTTTGATCAATTTCATGCCTAACATGGTTCACAGTTTATATTGTAAATTATTTAAACATTACAAGATAAAATGTCAAACATTTTTTACTCGATATTTTTAAGATTAAAAGATATTCATAGTAAAACTAATCATGCTTCATTTAGCCACAGTGATTTTCAGATATCCAAATTAATCACCACTTTGGACTTAGGTTATATATATGTCAGATGTAAACAAGAATGATCCAGAATTTGAAAATAAGGGTGTAGGGCAGAAGCTGTAGTCTACTGGCTACTGGGCAATGCAAGTGCAGACAATCAACTCACTGTAGGAGGGGCCTGGATACCAAGGTCTGGTGGCTTTGGCAAGATCATATCTCACTGTAGAAAAATACAACAATGAATACAGAGAAAATATTTTGCCATTTTGTAATTGTGGTTACCACAAAAAACCTTATAATGTGTGATGCTTATCTTATTACATGCCTCCATGGAGCAAATTTGAATATGAAATTTTCTATGAATCAGTGTACTATTACATGGGAAAAGATAGCTACAAATTAAAATTTTTCCATCATGCATATGGATGTTATAAAAACACAGCCAGTAAAAGTAATATTTACAAAAGTTATAAAAACATCACAATTATAGGGAAAAATGCCCATCTCTGCTTTTATTCCATTGCTAATCCAAATCCTGAATATCTCTGGAGATTATATTGATAGAATTTTGAGACAACTGTCTATAGACTGATCAGATTCTTCTGTTGCACTTACATTCTATTAGCTAAAATATCCTTGCTGATTTATCAAATTCTCCTACAGTTTAAAAACACAGTTCTTTTTTCACTTAGTGGAAATAAAACTACAAAGTCCTGCTATTCATCTGAGAAATAAACCTTGCATAGAAAATTTCTTTAACTCTGAAATTGCTTTATTAACTGAGCTACCAGAATGTTATCTCACAACTAGTTCATATTATATGAAAGTTCACTACAAAGCAGTCACCACACATTTAGGATTTTTCTAAATATAAAATAAGCAGGTTTATAAAAATGCTCACCAGACAAATAATTATCTCTTTATAACCTAGAAAGAAGAATTACTTTTATAATGATATAATTCTCAGTGTTTGGGATGCCTTAATGTTCCAAGTTTAATGCAATATAAATGGCAAAAGTTTACCTTTCCAATGGATACAATCTGTACCTGACTGAAAGCATAACAGTGAGTCACAGCAATCAGTCATGCAAAGGCAAAGAATAAAATCTGCTTTTTAAACAGCATGAGTTTTCCACCTTAGACAAGACACATTAAGCACTGGTTCCATCTTCTTCAATAACTCGATTCATGCTGGTGCCATGTGTGATGTGAGTCATGGGATTGTTACTGAGATCTCTGATGCTACTATGTCGTGACTGTTCATTGAGACGGTGAGAACTACTATGCCTGGAGTGATCCGTTAGTCGTGACATGCTGCCATGAGGTAGTCTCTCCTCCATTCCTCTGTAACTGCAGGGTGTGTACCTGATACAAGAGAGTTTATTTTGAAGTGAGTAACAGAACACACTTGAAAATAACACTAATAATTTTCATGAAAGTGCCTCATTAAGTGAAATGAATAGGAAACCAACAATGAGAAAGTAATAAACTTTTGATTATTTAGACTAATATCGTTAATGTTGTAGAATTACTGACATGGCCAACAAAAAAGGGGAGATAATCCACTGAGGTTTGGAATTAGGGTCCTATTCCCTGCTAAAGGACAGAAGTGAAGGTTAAATGCAGAATGAGCTGGAGCTATGCTAAGAATGGATTCTGTTCTCATTCAAGAGTTTTGAGCATTGGAGTGCTCAGTGCTCAGTTTTGAGCATTGAGTTCAGGAAGAGGAGGAATGACAATAGAAGAAATGTGGCCTTGCCCCTAGAAATCTAAAAGATTGGTTATAATTAGTAGTATAGCAAACTCAAATCGTAGCAAAAGATTAGCAATGGAAGAGGGAACATATGACATCAGTGGAAGAATTACTGTACCCTAAAAAAAATATAAGTGAACTTGGTAAGCAATGATAACATACATGCCCACCGTTCATTTCCATATAACCCAGTTTTTCTCTCTTTTTTTTTTAAGACAGGGTCTCACTTTCTTACCCAGGTTAGAGTGCAGTGGCATCATCATAGCTCACTGCAACCTCAAAATGCTTAAGTCAAGTGATCATCCTGCCTCAGCCTTTGGAGGGGCTGGGACTATAAGCTTGTGCCACCACACCAAGCTACTTTTTTTCCATTTTTGTGTGTAGAGATGCAGTCTCGCTATGTTGTTCATGCTGGTCTGGAACTCCTGGGCTCTAAACGATTGCCCCTGCACCCCAGAGTGCTAGGATTACAGGTGTCCCATGCCTGGCCCAAATAGCCGAGTTAACAGCTGAAATAACTACCTATAAATGATCTTAATTACTTTTCATTAGAGCTTGAGGCTGTGAAGATGCTCTTTCATAGAAGCTACATTTACCTGGAAGTTACATCCTAGTACTTTGTAATCTATATCCCTGCTAAAGTAATTCTCTACCCTCCTAGCCCGAGACCCAGCTAGGAGTATGTGAGCTGGGCTACACTGCTTACTGCAGACAGTCTCCTCCCTCACTATACCTATTTTGCAAGGCAATGGTCGGGGCTGTTAAATTTTCTTCTGTTGCAGTCCTAATTCACTGAGCCCCATCACAGGCAAGAAATTATAAAAAATTCTCTGCCGTGAAGAATAAGAGATTAGCTCTAGGCCAGTCAAGGTAATGAAAATCAATTACCATTTTTTTTTTTATTAGTCCTTTGCTTACAAAGCTGGTATGCTATTTATCAATGTTTTTGGCTTTATAGGGTGCTCTTTCAGGGTGAGGATTGTATTTTATTTATCTTTAATCCCTAGTGTCTAAGAAATATTTGTCTAAGATACCTTTTGTTCATACTTATACTCTTTTGAAAAAGTATCTGATTTAAGATAATAAAGCTCAAAGAAAGCTCAGTATAATTTATAAATTTAATTAACATTAAGTTTTAAGTAACATTTCTAAAAATAAATAGAATATAGCAGGCTGTAATAGTCATCAAAACAACTAGCCATAAGCAGCTTGGATTTACTGTCAAAAAGCATTCACTTACTATTCCTTCATAATAATATTTCATGACTCGGCGTGAATCCCTTATAAAATTTAAAGATTTTAAAGATAGATTCATACACTACTGAGGTGACCTTCTAAGTCCCATAGCAGTTTGTCAAATAACATTTTCATTAGATCACAAAGTTTAAAAATTGAGAAGTCCCTTGAAAATTATTTTTTTAAAAGCATATCTTTTGTTTCTGGTTTGAGTAAAGCAAAAAAGAAAATTTAAGAATGAAGAGGTAAATATTTAAATATTTTCAAAATTTCTCATGTTAATGGGTAAAAGAATATTTAACTTGTACTTATTAAAAAACATTTCCCATTTAGGACTGAGTTTTAAGTTTGTACTCCATTTTGATAAATGTTTGCAAATGAAAACATTTCAGAATGAGCTTGTTTATTCTAGTTTAATAATTATTATTTTGCATAATGATTATTGTCCTAAAACTGAGTAAAAGATTTTTCCAAATTTCCAAATACAACTTGGCAGCTGATTTGGAGATCTTTCATCTCTCAATGGCTTCATAAATATCTATTTCAAATAAATAAGGCAAATGAAAAAAGGAAAATATAATGCAATGTTCTAGTAATGATATAAAACTAAGGTATTTTCTAAAATAAAATATAAGCCTTCAAGTTGTAAATAATATTCGACAAATACATTCTTCCTAGAAAAAATTACCATAGTAATTATGTCTAATTATTAAGTGACACATATGGTTACCCACAAAAAATTTTAGAATATGAACAACTTGCCCATGGATAATTCAGAATCAGCAACATAGAAAAATAAACTAATTACAGTATTTAATCCCAGTTGTATATGTATGAATTACCAAATTTATCTTTTGACAGTCATTTAAACCACTGTGACCATCTACTCTAATATACAACATTAAAATGTATATTAATTTTAATGTAAGCTTAGGCAAAACAATTAGGATGGTTAATTTGCTGCAATTGTCAAAAAGATAATATGGTACATTTCAAAGTCAAAGTTTAAAAAACTTGAAGAGGATTGACTTTTTGATTCTATACACTGTTTGCTATCATTAATCTAAATAACTGGATTAATTGCAGTTTAATATCTCCTTATTTTATTCCCTAGCTTTCTCTTGTCATGTCACCTACTTACCAACCCCTAATCACTCATCCCAAACCTCCACCTACCTACTCATTCACTTTCTTTTCTACGCATCCTCTCATCTAACCACCAATTACTTATTCTTTGAAGTTGACATATATGTGTAGGTGTATTTACCTAAGCCTATTTTATTTTACACAGCACCCACATTATTTCTAAAGTCAGTATTTATTTGATAGATCTGTTCATCCCCTACTATACACATGCCCAGCACAGTGCTAGGCACTGTGGAACAATAGAGATGTATGTCACCTAGTTCTTATTACCCACAAGCTGCAAGCTTAGTTGAGGAAAGAGAACTATACTGAAAATACATCATAACCAAAAGAATGATAAAGATAAAAGTAATCAATTAACTGCCATGGAAATTGGAATTACTCAGGCCTTAAAGGATGGGTATGATTTTGATTAAGCAGAGAGGTAGGAAAGGGCATTAGAGGAAGTCATAATCTATTCTCTGGTTTTCATGGCACTGTATAGATTGCCTCATATGTCTATAAGCACTTTCTCTGAATCACATGCCCACTGTTCTTCCTATATTATTATTATTGCAAGTATTTACCAAGGTGGTATTCTTGATCTGTTGTTCTTTATTGTGATTCAAAGGATTCTAGCTCAGAATTTTAATTACCAAATACCTTATACTGATAATATAACTTCCTTATCTAAGCTCCATTTCTAATTCAGATTACAGTGGCTGAAATCTCTTATCTTTAATTGCCTTTGGAAATTTTATACTCAATATAAACTTATCTTTTATTGTTCATTTGCCCTATTTATCATTTCTAAGACATTTTCATGGAACAGTCTGATTCTTCTCTTTTCTGAAGTTCTACAACTATTATCTCTAACACTCACTGTCTTAATTATATCCTAGCTTCCACTACTATTTAACTGGTTCATATGTGTGTGTCTCATCTTTGCTATAAGGTTATATGCTCCTATATGCTCCCAGAATGCAGAAATGCAGAAATTACATCTTTTCTGTTATATATATATCTTTACACACAGAATGTCAGATGCATGGTGTACTATAAATAATTGTTCATTCATCATTAAAAAGGATGAGGTCAATAATGTCAAATAATCCTGAGAGTTCATGGAGTGAGTGATTGATTAATATATTCTAAAAGACTGATTCCGGCCGGGCGCTGTGGCTCACGCCTGTAATCCTAGCTCTTGGGAGGCCGAGGCGGGCGGATTGCTCAAGGTCAGGAGTTCAAAACCAGCCTGAGCAAGAGCGAGACCCTGTCTCTACTATAAATAGAAAGAAATCAATTGGCCAACTGATATATATATATATATAAAAAAATTAGCCGGGCATGGTGGCACATGCCTGTAGTCCCAGCTACTTGGGAGGCTGAGGCAGAAGGATCACTCGAGCCCAGGAGTTTGAGGTTGCTGTGAGCTAGGCTGACGCCACGGCACTCACTCTAGCCTGGACAACAAAGCGAGACTCTGTCTCAAAAAAAAAAAAAAAAAAAAAAGACTGATTCCTTCCCTACTTATCAACATCTTAAGTTAGGACCCTTAAATTACTATTTAAAAAAATTCCTAACTGGTCCTACAGTCTTCTTTACTATGCTGTTGCCAAGTGATGTTTCTAAAATACAAATCTGATTTTCCCACCCCAATGCTCAGAGTCCTATGATAGATAGTTTCTCACTGCTGTCATGGAAAAATCCAACCTCTCAGCATAGTTTAATCTCCTAGAAGTGCTCAAACATACATACTGTGCTCTAGCCATACCCAGACACCCAACTGCCTGCTTGTCCTCCTTGCCTCTGCATGTGCTGTTTCCTTGCCTTTAAATCCCAACTGCCTCCTCTGAATCCTATTCAATATTGAGGTGCCAACTCTTTTACGAAGCTTTCTCTGACTTTCCATGATGAATTAGATGGATTTTTTTTTTTGAGACAGGATCTCATTTTATCACCCAGGCTGGAATTCAGTGGCACAATCATAGCTCACTGCAACCATGAACTCCCAGGTTCAAGCAATCCTCCTGCCTTAGCCTCCCAAGTAACTAGGACTATAAGCACAAGCCACCAAACCTAGCTAATTTTTAATTTTTTTTTTTGTTGTAGAGACAGGGTGTCATTGTGTCATACAGATTGGTCTCAAACTCCTGGGCTCAAGGGATCCTCCTGCCTAGCCTCCCAAAGTGCTGGGATTACAGATGTGAGCCACTGTGCCCAACTTACATGGTTTTCTTATCTGAGATTCCCAAAGCACCCTGTATAGATTTTTATTAAACCTATTAAAGTGTATTGTAATTGTTTACTCTTCTGACTTCTATCTCTGCATCTCTAGCACTTCTAAGAATGCTTCTCTTGTGGGGGTGCTAAGTGGAAGAAAAGAAAGCAGGAAGGAGAAAGGATCTTTGAATGTGGTTAAAAAAGAGGTCATTGGTTATGTTACAAAGTTCAGGTAGGTAGGGAGGAGAAAGAGACTAGATTTACAATGGATGAAGGACAGAATAGATAGAATGGAAATATTTGAAATATTTACTTCAAAAATCTAGCAAGGCAAGGAAAAATAAATGATAGAAGATTTATCAGAGTCAAAGAAAGATTACTGCTGTTTTAAACACAGGGTAGCTGACCAATTTAGAAGGCAAAAGAAAGCAAGTTGAGAGGAGCAGGTCAAAAAAGAGAATACTGAGTATGGGAAGCACATTCTACAAGATGAAGACAGGGAGAAGGATGAAATTGACAGGATAGAAAACTGTTGTACAGAGGCATTTTAAAGTAAACAGAATGCTCCCAATTTTAGATATCAGAATTTTCATTCTTTCAATTTCCCAAATTACAAGCCTAAAAAAAGAGAGAGAGAGAGAAAATCTTTGGTGCATCCTTTTCTCCAGCTGCTAGTATTCTAATATTAATTTATCACCAGCTCCTATTATTTTTTCTTTCTAAATATCTTTCATGTCAGCTCTTTCCTCTTTCCCACTTGCCACTACTCTCCTATAAGCCTTCATCATCTCTCAACTGAATTACTGCAAAGCTCCTAGGCAGTTTCTAATTCTATTACCTCATTCCTCAAATTTAACAAGAAATGCACAGCCAGGCTTCTTTCAAACATTCTCACTGTGAAGCTTTTTTGGAAACGGCACCCCCCACCCTGGACAACCAGAATTAGTTACTCCCTTCTCTAAGCTATAACTGTACCTAGTAAACAGGGATGGGCAAACTATGGCCTGCTGGCCAAACCTGGCCCCCTAATTTTGGAAATAAATTTTATTAGAACACAGTCATTCCCATTTGACATACTGTCTATAACTGCTTTCACTCTGTAATAGCAGAATTGAATAGTTGCAACAGAGACCATATGATTCATAAAGCCTAAAATATTTACTATCTGGCTTTTTATGGAAAAAGTTTGCCAACCTCTGGTACTTATGTTTCACTTTAATTGTTCACTTATAATAACAATAGAAGCTGATTATCAGGCACTTACTGGGACAGATACTGTTCTAAGGAATTACATATGTTATCTCATTCAATTTTTACATTATTATAATCACTATTTTCATTCTATAGATGAAGAAACTGAGGCTTATTCCAGACCCACATTCTAAACCACAACACTCACTACACTATCTTTCTAAACAGATTGTGAGCTTATTAGGAGTAAAAATCATGGTTAAGTCATCTTTATATTCCCAGAGCCTAGCACAGTGCCTGATATAGCAGGCATTCCATAATTGTTTACTAAATTGATCTTACTAAAATAGTTACTTTCACACTGTCGTCTCACCACTCAATTTCCTACAATGACTCCCATATTGCTTACGCATCAAATCTAAACTCTAAACTTCTCTGGCTGGCTTTAAGTCTGACCATAATCTGGGATAATTCTACCTAGCAAAGTTCAAAGGTTAATAATGTTCAACTTCTATTTCAGAATTGGCTCTCCTCTTTTTTGAGCTATATGACCATCATCCAGATTATGAAATAAACTAAGCTACTAATAAAACTCACCTGCCATCACGTGATCTATGGAGGCTGCCGTGGTAGCTGCTCACTTTGCTGTGAACGCTCCCTGCCTTGCTTCTCTGATCATCCACCATGGCCAGCTGAGTTGAGGAAGCATGGGTGGATGTTCCTTGAGTGGAAGTTCCCCTTGATTTTCTTATAATAGGAGTGTTTGGATCCCTCAGGAGAGACTGAGCAAAATCAGGCTCCTGGAGTACCTGTCGGCTTTCATTCACTATCCTAGAAAACAAAAGAGTAAGTTTAAGAAACATACTAACTCCCTTATAGATCAATAAGCAATACTTCTGTGTAATACTGAAGTTATTCTTGAAATTAATTGCTCTCCAAATTAGGTCTTTAGAATTGATATATGGTAACATTGTTGACAGAGGAAAGAATAACAAAAATCCATATCAATTTGTCCCCTAAAGTGGTATGATGGAAAGAGGCCTGTTTTTGAATAAGGAAATCAGGATTTTACTTCCAACTTTATCTAATAAATATGTGATCTCAGGCAAGTCACTGTCTCGTCTCTTTCCTTGATTTTCCTCATCCATAAAATGAAGGTAAACCATTTCATCATTTCTAAAAGGGCCTTTTCAGCTGAAGAAATTTATGATTCTCAAGACACTAAAATATTACAAAGATGTAACTATAAAATTGTTTTCTTGCATGTCTTATGGAAGTAGCAGAGGCTTCATTGTAGTATGGGCATAACATTTTTTAACTTGTAAGAGCAGTTGTTTTAAGAGCAAGTTGATTGTATGGCAGAAGCAGTTGTCTAGTGCTGGAATAAACATGAGTGGGTCATAATTAGAACAAAATAATATGAAAAATTTAAGCATACAGTTAAGTCTCAGGTATATTAAAAGCTTAAGGAGAAAATTTTAGAAGGATGAATTATTGTCATGAACAAAAGTTCTTAACTACTATGAAAGAATTAAAAGTAGAGGTTTATGATGATGAACAGAGCAGTAATTAAATTAGTAAAAGATCTAATTAAATAGTTGTAAAGATCAGTGTCTTGGTTTAATGTAAATAAATGACTCACTATGAGAATCAGAATTTAAGTTAAAATTAGATAAACAATTTAATTACATAAAAACAAACTAAAGATTGGATCATATGTTGAGAAAATACATAGATTCCAGGTTCTCAAAATATAAAACGATTGTTATTATTGCTGTTATTTTTAACACAGTGGTAGAAGGGCTGAAGAAGATAAATAGTTATTGAGTATTTATATATACAGTCTCTTAATATTACAGAGATTAATATCCCAGAGGGTATTTCTAAGGGAATATTAGATACCTATTAATAATAGATATTGTGAACTCCATTTTATAGACAAAGAAACTGAAGTTCTAAGAGATTAAATAACTTTCCAAAAAAAAAAAAATCACAACAAAACCAACAGGCAAGGGTCAAACTTAAGTTTAAAGTTTTAGAAGCTAATCGCAAAGTCATGATAAAACAGTGTTTACATATATCCCAAAAATAAAGTGTCAAAAACTAGATAGAAGAATAAGTCAAAAATAGTGGGGAAAAACATATATATATAGATTTGTTCCTCTGTCATCAATAGCCTTATTCATCCCTAATCATATATACACACATCCCACCCAAGTCAGTTTTGATGGCTGACTTGGTTGATGGAAACATCTAATTCACCTTCAAAAGGTGAAGGTTTGTTCCCTGGTTTTACAGATAATTTCCAGAGAAATTAAGTAACATGACCCAGGTAATTCCCAAAGAGGATTTCTAAAAATATTTAAATCCATGCAGAATTATTAGCATAATTATGGTCTTAAATGTGGCTTCACTTAGGGGGAGAACATTAATTTGGTTAGCACAATTTTAGAAGCCAGTCTCTTTACAGCATAGTGTAATAGTCATTTAGAGCAAAGCTCTTGAGTCAGACCGCTCAAGTTTGAATCTACGTGCTAGCCGTTTACTCGTAGACTCTTGGTTTCCTTATCTGTAAAATGACCTCAGTTTCCTTATCTGTAAAATGATCCCCTTCTTTACAAGGTTGTTTGGAGGATTCAATGATTTAATGTGTAAAGTGCTTAGAACAGTGCTTTGAATATTAAATATGCCCAATAAATTGGTAACCGTTATTATGATTACTTTACAGTCACTTCTCAAAGGCTAACCAAATAAATGCTAGAAACCCAGAGCACCTTCCTGGATTGGAAAGTCATGATGACTTTGTTGCTTGGGGATTCACAGTAGCAGAAAACCAAACAGAATGGCCCATGGGAGTTTTGACCAGTTTCAAAAGGATTCTGCCCCAATCAGGATCCCCCAAATAACTAGGATGAATCTCTGTAAGGGTAGCTTGGCTTTAGTTCTGTTTGGAATTTCTGATACACCCCTATTACAGAATTATTTGTATATCGTCCAGAAGTGCCCAGGAATGTTTAACTCAAGCCCTTTCTTAAGCATCATGTTTTACTGTGATTAAAACATAATTAAATTTTCCAAAGATTATACAAACAAATCACAGTAAATACTATAAGGAAGAGCACTCCATGAAAGCAGAGGTTTGTTTGTTTGCTGTCGAATCACTAGTATCCCAAAATAGTTCATGGTACATAGCAAGCATTCAAAAGACTTTCTTAAAGAATAATTAATTGCCTAGGAAATACATCATTTTGTTGCTATTGAATGAACCTCCCCCCATTTTCCTTCTCTTCCCTGTGAAACTACATTTAAGAGAGAAATGCATTATCTGATATCACTACTAGCAGTTTCAGATATCATAAGAAATATATACAGTCTTCCTTCAATATCCTGGGGGATTAGTTCTAGGACTCCCCTCCCTCAGGACACCAAAATTCAAGGACGCTCAAGTCCCTTATATAAAATGTCATAATATTTGCATATAATCTATGTACATCCTACTGTATACTTTAAATCATCTCTAGATTATGTATAATACCTAATACATCACTTCATTTGTGTAGATTAAGTGTAGTGCTCAGTATGCAGCAAATTCAAGTTTTGCTATTTGGAACTTCCTGGAATTTTTTTTTCCCAAATATTTCTGAGCCACAGTTGATTGAATCCATTGATACAGAACCCTTGGATATGTAGAGCCAAATGTATTTTATTTATTTATTTACTTATTTTGAGACAAGAGTCTCACTCTGTTGCCCAGGCTAGAATGCCGTGGCATCAGCCTAGCTCACACAGTAACCTCAATCTCCTGAGTTCAAGCGATCCTCCTGCCTCAGTCTCCTGAGTGGCTGGGACTACAGGCATGCACCACCATGCCTGGCTCATTATATATATATATGTATATTTTTTTTTTAGTTGGCCAATTAATTTCTTTCTATTGTTTTTGTAGAGATGGGGTCTTGCTCTTGCACAGGATGCTTTCGAACTCAAAGGACCCGCCCGCCACGGCCTCCCAGAGTGCTAGGATTACAGGCGTGAGCCACTGCACCCGGCCTAGGGCCAATGTATTTTAAACTGTTGATTCTTTTATCTCTGTGACTCTGTGTAACAGAAATTGCCACTTACTGGTATTTTAATAAGTATAGATTTTTAGTAGGGAAAAAATTAAGGTAATTTTAAGTTGTATCATATAAGAAAACTATTAATGCATTAAGACATATACAGGCCAGGTGCAGGGGCTCACACCTGTAATCCTAGCACTCTGGGAGGCCAAGGCAGGAGGATTGCTCAAGGTCAAGAATTCGAAACCAGCCTGAGAAAGAGACCCCATCTCTACTAAAAAAAATATATATATAGAAAGAATCACTTGAGCCCTGGAGTTTGAGGTTGCTGTGAGCTAGGCTGACGCCAGGGCATTCTAGCCTGGGCAATAGAGTGAGACTCTTGTCATAAAATATAAAATAAAATATAAAATAAATGACATATACAACATTTCACATACAATTTAAAGAGGTTTATAGACTATCCTCCAAAACCCATTTTCCATGGACTCTAGGTTAAGTAAAACCATAATATGGATTCTCCACTAACTTAGAATTTGTGATAATTCAGATACAGTATACACACAAGACAAACTTAGTGAAAAGTTTGAAATCATTTGTTCTGCTATGAATATTGTAGGGTCTTTTTGTTTTGTTTTATGAATTAAGGGCTCGAAAAATTAAAGATTCCTTAAATATACCCTTAAATGATTGCTTTGGTGAGTCTTATATTTTTACCATGACATTCTGATATGCAGTGTGGCCAACTCTGAATTAAAATAATTTCTTCAAACATAAATATCATTTTTCTATTTTTGCTTTAACATGTACGACATCAGACTGGAATAACAGTCTATCTCTTTACACTGATTTTGGTATACTTGGAAGAACAGCAGACAGCTGGAGGTGGAAGTTAATCTAAGTTGTAACATCAGACCATCACTTCGACTGTGGCCAAACAGTTAACCTGTGTCTTTGCTCTCTCATCCATCAGACAGGGATGAGAACCCACACCCACCCTCACAGGACTATCAGAAGGATCAAGTAAGAATGTAAAGAAAAGCATTAATTTGTTTTCAATTTTAAGAAAATTATAATTTTAATTTTTTCATTAAGATTGGCCTCCCTTCAAATATTCTGACTTGGTACAGAAATAGACCACAAGCCTGGTTCTACTTGCCCATCTTTTAGTTTTTAATGAAGACATGCTGCTGTGCCAGTCACAACTGAAGGTTGCTGACAAGGTTACAATCTCGTTTGAGTAACTCTCCAAATCCAAATCGTTTTAACAAAAGCAACACAAAAACTTTAAATAAATATGAGGTTTGTGAATATCATGATAATTTATTCCAACTTACTCTTTCTTCCTACGACCATGAAAAAAACTGGCCCATTCAAAGCATGTCTTTTTGCTTCCAACCCAAAAAATGGAGGGAATACCAACTATGAGAGCCATCAGGTATTTCATCAGAAAGAGAATCAGGTCTGGCCGACTCATTTGAGTAACCTACAAAGACGGAAAGAAAAACATCTTAATTATATTTTTAAAGCTTTCCATTACAGGCCATTATAAAATCTTTTAAATAAAATAAGCAATAGTGAAATAATTCTATAAATTTGATGTTCTCATATATAAAGTTCTACAGGTAATTACTCATTATGTGGAAAAGACACACTCCTGAAGATTTGGCCATTAATTTATATTCGATACATCAAGCCCTATATTTTCCTTATTGGCTGACACTAGCCATCTTCTGAATAAAAAGATTACTAACTTGGAAAATAAACTATGGACAGGAATAGAGGTTCAAATAATACCTATAGTCTTCTTGGCTAGTTTCACAATTAGGAAAGTATTCATCTTTTCCCCATCGTGTTATTAACTCTGTTCTTGTCTTTAACATGCCCTTCCTTCAACCTATTTCATGTTTACTCTGCTGGCTGTTTTCAAGCCTCCTCTTTAACCTATAAGTTATTTAGAAGTGTATTTTCCAGTTTCCAGTCAGATGCACTTTTTTTTTTTAAGTTTCTTTTTATTTTCGGTTTCAAGTTTAATTGCTGTGGTTAGAGAGTGTGATCTATATGTTTCTGGTCTATATGATTACCCTAAATTTTGGAGATTTGTGGTTTAGGACTCAGTCAATTTTTATTAGTAGGCCCTTTTGTCACATTCACCATTTGTTGCAAACGTTTCTATCTTGCTCTTACTCTGTAAACCCGTCTTGTCCTTCCTCAAAAAACTTTGTTTCACAATTGCCATGCTTTTGGTGTGTCTAGACATTCTTTGGCCAAAAGCACACCAAGAACCAAGAACAGACACGATTGACTACTCAACAAAAATTTTAATGGCCAGGCAATATTATATCAAACCATATAACCTAAGTTAATCCACCAAATAATTTTGTATATTAAGTTTCTGATTTTTACAATATAAACTACTCTGAGTATCCTCTTTAATAAAAAAATTTAACAAATTCTAAAAAAAATAATAAGTATTTTGTGTGCTTAATGCATACATTGTTGGAACAAATTTTCTATATGTATAATAAATTGTGTTGTTTCAACCTTATAATTCTGACCTTATTCCATTTACCGTCAGTTTTAATAAGAGCATACTAGGATCTCTCATAGACTGTGACATAATCAATTTCCTTCTAAATTCCCTATTTCACTTTAATAGTTAACCTAGATGTAATAGTTCAAGAATGCCCTAGCCTCTTTTGCTTATTCAATGCTCTTTACTTAATTGTCTAACATTATTTGCCAATCGTTTTTCTTCCCATACCAGCATATTTTTCATGATCTTTCCTAAGTATATTTTCCTAAAGCCTGTGTTAGCTATGCCTCTTTTTAAGGTATATAGTTTAACCCCCCCCCTCAAACTGTAAGTTCCAGGTAGAGATCCCCCGCCCCCCACTGTTTTATTCCCAGAGTCCTAGAAAGGTGTGCCTGCACATAGGCCGTCAACCCAAAGTATATTATACAACTTAAACTATATACTGTACTTTGATTTATGTAGAAAAACATAGTTAAAGTTATTCACATTTTATTTCTTCTGAACAAGCATTGCCTCTTATCTTTAGCAATCCTACTATTTCTTCATCATTTCTACGATATTTCCAAGCTGCCCTTCATTGTATTAACTGTCCCAGCACACCCTTCCTCTTGTGATCTCCTTTCTTCTTCTAAAAAGATGCCTTTAGAATTCTTCAATACAGTGCAGAGGATAAGTTCTTTTTGTCCAAGAAATGTCTTTATTTCTCGTCAAGTCTTGAATGTGTTTATAAGTTATCTATCTCCTCAAGCATTTTAATATTATTTTCTAGCTTCTACTGTTGCTATTGAGAATAATGAATCTTTTGGAGATTTTATTCCTCTCTGGTAGCTTTAACTATGCCCTTTATTCTTTTATTTTATAGATGCACGTAAATCTTTCTTTCTAACTGATTTTTATTTTCTGATTCAGTTTAGAGTAATGCTTTTAATCTCAAGTTTGCCATTCTGGAATCTTCTAGCCAGCAGCCTCATTGGTTATGCTCTTAGTCCATTCTTATAACCCTCTTCTGGACTCCTATTAAATGTAGTAGATAGTCCCGTCCTATCTTATCTAATGTTTATACTGCATAATTGTAAAATTTGAGACTTTTTTGTCTTCCATATATCTTGGGTAAACCTCTGTATAACATTCGTACTTCACAGATCCCTCTCGACATCGGTCTACGTTAGGGTTCTTCTATCACTGATATAATTTTCATAAACTCAATACTTCATTCTGTTAATGAATGGCTAAACAGTTTTACACCATACTGTCTATTCTGATTTCATTTGTTTATACTAATAGCTGCTTTTATTCCTCTTAATACAGTTTTTATTATTTAATTTTTGGAGAACCTAATATACTTATTTATAACAAGTCTTTATAAATCAACCTACTCCTTTTTTCATCCTGAGAGTGAAGCCATCTTCCGGTTGTTGATTTATAAATCCCTTTCTAGGTTTAGCGTTTTTTTTTTTAATTGTGATTTTTAGAATTTTAGTTTGCAGATCTTAAGTGAGAGAGTTGCCTCCTCCTCCCCTTCCCCATTCAGTCACCCTGAATGGCCCTCATAGGCCGCTTTCGGTGCCTTCCACCAGTGCCCCATGAGGCTAGTCGAAACCCCGTTTATGGTTGACTAAAAGCTCCAGATATGTCAGGGCTCTCAGATCAGTGCACTGAGCACATTGCAGTTGCTTAAGTATGGCCTTCAGGCCTCCACATCTCTAGATAAGTATTTTACAAATCAACACCTAAGGTAACAGCTGGTGACACCTTTTAATACAACCCTCTTCCCAGGAGCAAGGCAGCCCCACTTGCAATCCTGCTTTTTAACCAGTGAGCCTAGCAGTCAGTTCCTGACTTCCCATGTGACAGGATTTCCCAAATACCTCCACAGAAACCTGAACCCTGTCGCCTCCCCTGCCACTCTCCAGACTGAAGTCATGGGGTCCATGTTTTTCTCCTAGACATGCATTTCATTTTATTCTAAACAAATAAACTTATGCTGTATTTAATTATGTTTTAAAGTTACGCTACACTAATATCAGTGATCTAATGGCTGCTTGGTAAAACAAACAATAGAAATTTAAATTATTTGCCTTTACTTATAAGGGAAGAAAAGAAATATAATTCAGACCTGAAATAAGGGTAATTCTTCTAGGCAATACATAAAACACCAAACAACCAATAAATATTAATGAAGCCTTACTACTCTAAGGAATAATAGGCCCACCCCCCCCATCAACCCATCGATTGACATCAAAGAAATAGCCGAAGCCCCAGCATCGATATATGAAACACAAACTAATAATAACACTATAAAAACTAATGACCAACAACACACCAATATAAACAAACAACAAAACATGTTGTTCACTCATCCCTTTTTTAACATTCTACATAGTATCAGTTATCAAATGACCATCTCATATTACCCAAAATTTTCCACCCTAATCAGATAAGTTACACGTCTTCTTGGGCCTCCTCCACACCTACTCTCTTTCTTACCTTTTTCTCCCCTACTACCCTCAATATAAGGAGTTGTAAAAGCCTTCCTGCCTCCTTTTTTCTTTATACTCTAGATCTCATAAACCAGCACTTAGAACCATCCCCTAAAGCATTTTTTTTTTTTGAAACAAGTCTCACTCCTGTGTCCCGGCCCCTAGAGTGCCGTTGGGCATCAGCCTGCTCAACAAGCGACCCAAGACTCTTGGCTCAAGTGATCTATCTAGCTCCCCAAGTTAGGCCTGACATAGGCATGCACCCACCATGCCCAGCTAATTTTTTAATAGTTTTATGCGCCATTATCTTTCATTTATAAGCACGAACGGGGTACTGCCCCCCTTGCTCCCAGCGCGTTCGAACCTCCTGACCTTGAGCGATCCCACCCGCTCGCCCTCCCTAGAGTGCGTAGGATTAACAGGCCCGTGACCACCATATGCCCGGCCTAAGCATTAATTTTTACCCTAACGAATTTGCTCTCAACCTTATTGGTTTTTTTTTTTTTTTTTTTTTTTTTTTTTTTTCTAGAATGTATTAGTAATACAAGTATGGATAAATCACAAGGTTGCCTGTCCAGTCAAATAGCTGTAGCTGTCCCACAGCCATTATAGTTCTGTCCTCTGGGGTATAAAGAACAAGCTACAGCCTAACAGTCGCCAGAAAATCCCAGCCAATCATAAGTATACTGCCAGACAGAAAACTAAAGAACAGTGTGAGTATGCAGCGAACAAAGAGACAAAAGTACAAGAAAAATGGGCCAGTAATGAGTCAGAAAACTCCGCTGCCCTGAACTAACAGTCAAGGGGTGAGGGAAGAGTGGCTGATAGATTCAATAGACTGAAGAAATTTGCCCCAATTTCAGGTAGTAAACAGACTAAACATCAAGGTAATATTTTCATAAAAAGAAAAAGAAAAGAATACACCAAGTTAGGCCCAATAGTGTTGGGGTGTGGTATGGTGGTTGGGCATGTTATTTTGGAAACAAAAGCCTTCCAAGGAACACGACATTTAAGCCAGGGATTAGACAAGCATGAAGAAACAGCCAACTATGACCTGAGAGAACAAATGTTTGTCTCTGAAGAACAGTGACAAGGAGGCCCAGAATGCCTACCAGCGGAGGATGAAGAAGGCCAGAAAGGTAAGAGAAGAAGTCCAAGAAGCAGGCCAGGGGCCAACTCATACACTGTACGCCAACTGTAAGAAATATGATTATCTAAGAGTATACCAGTAAGCCGACTGAGGTTTTTTCCCAAAGGGAGCAACATGATCTCATTAAAGATCCACTTCTGGCTACTGTGTGAACAGATAACTGTAAAAGGAAAAAAGTAGATAATGATTGAGAAGCATTGTGCAATTACGTGATCTTGACTAAGGTAGAGGTGTAGAATTGACCGCCGACTAAGACGTGAGAAAAGACAGGGCTCGAGGAATGGCTCCAAATTTGGTCTGAGCAACTATCGAAGATGAAC